TTTCCTTGCTCTGTTCTGATGACTGCGTCCTGGTCCAAGTATAGGTTTCACATAAGCACAATCAAGTGTTCTGGGATTCCCATTCTTCTCAGAGTCAGCCACAATTTGTTGTGATCCACACAGTCAAATGCCTTTGCATAGTTAATGAAACACAGATAGAAATTCCTCTTGTACTCGCTGCATTCTGCCAAGATCCATCTGACATTAGCTATAATATTCCTAGTGTCACGGCCTCTTCTAAATCTAGCCTGCACTTCAGGCAGTTCTTTACTGCTGTTCCAGTCATTTTTGGATTAACTTCAGCAAAATCTTGTTTGCATGTGAAATCAATTATACTGTTTGATAATTTCCACACTCTATCAGATCATCTTTCTTTGGAATGGGAACAAACATAGATCTCTTCTATTCAGCTGGCCAGGTGTTTGTCCTCCACATTTTTTGGCACAACTTGGTGAGCACATCTAGGGCAGTATCTCTTTGCTGAAATATGTCAGTCGGTATGCCATGTTCATGTGCACTAGCAGGTTTTTTAAAAAAATTCTCTTCAGCAATATTTTAATTGTATTTTATTATTAATAATATTGTTTGATAATGGTGGACAGTGTTGGGTGAATCTCCCCAATTAAAACAAGCTTGGAAGGAGGAGTGGCATCCGCTTCCATAATAGTTTGCCTCCGTAAACCCTGTGAACCTGGAGAGAGGATGAGAGACAGTGTTGAGGACTCTCCTTCATAGGGTCACTATGAGTCACCTGTTACTCGACGGGATTAATAACGACAATGAATTTACCCATTCTGTTTGGTCACCTTTCTTAGAAGGGGAATAAACATGGGTATTTTTCAATCACTCAGCCAGGCAGATGTCCTCTAAATTTCCTGGTATAGACTGGTGAGCACATCCAGGGATGCAACTATTATTTGAAATTGGTATCCTACTGATTTCTGAGGCTTTCCCCCCGCCCATTGCCTTCAGTACACTTTAAACTTCTTCCTTCATTACTATTGTCTTTTGATCATGTACTTCCTGAAATATTACAGTATTGTCCAATTCTTTTCAGTAAAGTGATTCTGTATATTCCCTCTGTTTTTTATGTTTCCTGGATAATCTGAGATTTTTGCTCTTGCATCCTCTTGAGAATGCTGAGTGAATTGTCCTCTTTTTATTCCCCAATTCTCTATCTCTACACATTCTGTTACAGTAATTTGTCTTCCTAAGCTGTCTTTTGAAATCCTCTGTTTAGTTCCTCTATTTCAGTATTTCTTTTATTTTGGCTTCTTCATGCTCTATTGCAATTTTCAGTTTCTCTTCTGACATTCATTTTGGTTTTGGTTTTATTCTCTGTTTTTTGTTTGTTTGGTAGGTTTTTTAGTTACCTTTTGCTCTCTTCATATCCTTAAGGTCATCACATAACTCACCTGGTCGTAGGTCATTGGTATTTAATACTTCAACCCTATTCATAAAATTATTTTTAAATTCAATTGGGATAGACTCAAATATTATTTTGGTTCTTGTCAACTTGAATTTTCTTTAGCTTCTATTTGAACTTGTACATAAGTAATTGATCTGTTCCATAGTCAGCACTTAGCCTAGTTTTGATTGATGATATTGAGCTTCTCCAATGATTTGTTCCACTGATGTGGTCAATTTAATTTCTATGTAGTCCATTTGATGAGGTTGATGAGTAAAGTTGCCATTTGTGTTTTTTAAAAAATATATTTACCATGAATATATTACTGAATGTACAAAATCCTAACATTTTATTTCTGGCCTCATGTCTGTTACCAAGTCTGTACTTTCCAACTATACTTCCATTTTCCTACTTTTGCATTCTAATCACCTGTTATCATTAAAATATCTTAATTGCATATTAGGTAAATTTCAGACTGCAAAATTTGATAAAAATCTTCAATTTACTCCTCTTTAGCTTTAGCCACAGTGCTATAGTAGTCCCAGTGGTGACAAGTTATGCTGCAATCTCAAAGAGACACAGTTTGAATCCACCAACCACTATACAGGGGAAGGATGGGAAATGTCTTCTCATGCAATTTACTACCTCTGAAAACTCAATAGAAGGTCAGCATGTTCATTGTAAATTGCCAAAAATTAAGTTCCAGAGATTATATTGCCTAAGATAACCCCAAGTCTACCTGGTTATCTTCTTAGTGGAAAGTAAAGAAACAATCCTTAACTTTGGAGAGATTTCCTAAGCATGTCCCAGTTCATTTCCACACTCCTATTGAGCAAAACCCTTCTCACAGTAGAATCTCTCTTGACTTTTTAATGCTGTTAATCTCATGGGAGCAGACTGTCCATCTCTCCCCCACCCCCGCCCCACCAACAGAGGCACTGGTGGATCCAAACTACCAGAGAGGCATAGCATAGCAACAGAGAAGTTAGCATCACAACTCCGTAAAGGAACACACCTAGTCAATTCCTCAGATGCCTAAAAACCTGTTACAGAATACCACTTAATCTTCATTGGGTTCTTTCACAATCACTTTCTAATTTACCTCAGATGTGTCTAGTCTAAATATCCTAAAGAAATAATAAGTATAATTTTCTTCTCCTCCATGTTTCCTATTGAGGAGGGAGGCTGTCCTTTTGAGATATAACCTTCCAATAAATTGATCTTTACTATGCATTTAACAACAATTTGGTAAAGAAATTAACATTAAAATGTTTTAGTGATATAATTATAGTGGTTTGAGAAAATCTATTTCATAATACATATACATAGTTATATTAATTTATATTTAATAGATGGCATACCAGTTGACATATTTCAACCAACAGATGCTTCCCTGGATGTGCTCACCAAGTTGTGCCAAGAAATCTGGAAAAAAACCACTTGGGAAACTGACTGGAAGAGATCTATATTTGTTACCATTCCAAAGAAGGTTGACCCGACAGAGTGTGGAAATTATAGAGCAATATCACTGATTTCACATGCAAACAAAATTCTGCTAAAGATCATCCAAAAACGACTGGAACAGCAAGCACATCAGCAAAGAACTGCCAGAAGTCTAGGCTGGGTTTAGAAGGGGTCATGGTACTAGGGATATTGTATCTAATGTTAGATGGATTTTAGCTGTAAGCAGAAAATACAAGTGGAATGTCTATCTGCGTTTCATTGACTATGCAAAGGCATTTGACTGTGTGAATCATAACAAACTGTGGCTGGCTCCGAGAAGAATGGGAATCCCAGAATGCTTGATCATGCTAACGCAAAATCTATAATTGGACCAAGAGGCAGTCATCAGAACAGAGCAAGAAAACACTGCATGGTTCAAAATTGTGAAGGGTGTATACCAGGGATGTGTCCTATCTCCATATCTTTTTAATCTATATGCAGATTATCTGGGAGCTGGGTTCTATGAGGAGAAGTGTGGCATCAGGATTAGTGAAAGAACCATCAACAATCTGCGTTACGCAGATGACACAATTCTGCTTGCTGAAACTGAGGAAGACCTGAAGCATTTTCTGCAGAAGGTCAAGGACTGCAGCCTCCAAATGGATTGAGGTTCAATATCAAGAAGACAAAGATTCTCACCACTGGACCAATTGGCAGCATCAGGATAAATGGTGAAAAGATTGAGATTGTTCACAGCTTTAGTTTGCTTGGCTCCATAGTCAACACTCTTGGCACCAGCAACCAGAAAATTAAAAGACGTATTGGGATGGGAAAGTTAGGGACCTCTCCGAAGTACTGAAGAACATTGGTGTCACTCTAGAGACTAAAGTGTGCCTGATACAGTTCATGGTCTTTTCAATCAGTTGTTATGCATCAGAGAGTTGGACAATGACTAGGGAGGATAGAAGGAGAATTGATGTCTTTGAGTTATGGTGCTTGAGAAGAGTATTGAGTGTACCATGGGCTAGTAAGAAAACAAACAAATTCATCCTGGGGAGAGTTAAACCGGGCTGCTCCTTTGAGGCAAGGATTCTGAGGCTTCGTCTGAACCTGTTTCAAGGAGGGAGAGGTCCTTGGAGAGGGACATCATGCTTGGGAGGGTGGAGGGACAGCGCAGGAGGGGAAGACCCTGTAGAGGTGGAGTGATTCAGTGACCAGAGTAATTGGGGTGAATGTGTCAGAGACAGTGAGATTGGCACAGGACAGAGCAGGGTGTAGAGCTATTGTACAAAGGGTCGCTATGAGTCACAAGCTATTTGATGGCACATAACAACAACAACAACAAATCATGTTAAGTATTGGATGCTAACAAGAAAGTCCACAGTTCAAATTCCCTAACTTAATCTGAGAGAGAAAGATGTGGCCATCTACTTGAATAAATATTACACTCTTGGAAAACCTCTTCTGTAGTTCTTTTTTTGTCCTACTAGGCTGCTATTAGTCAGAAGCAACTCAGTAGTTTTATACACTGTACATGCTAGAAAGGCAATTGTTGTTGTTAATTGCCTTCGAGTTGAGCACGACTCATAGTGACCCTATGAAGAAAAGGCCTGAAGCCCCTTTTACAACTATAGACATTTCTCAAAGTTCATAGAGTTTCCAGAAGCCTGTTGCTTAGGAAGTGGATGCCATTCCTGCTTCCACAGATATAGGTGTTAAGAAATCAGTAGCATACTTTATACCTCTGGAAACAATGAACTTTGAGAAATGATGATAGTTACAGAAAGATGCCAGGTCTTTTGTTCACAAGGTTGCTATGTCGTGCTTGACTTGACGGTAATCATCACAACAATAATAATGTTATAATAATAACAAAAACAATAATAATGTTTTTTATAAAATCTGTTACTTAACAGTGGTGGTGATTGTTTTGTTCCATCAAGACCAACTCATTGCTGACCCTCCAGTGGGTTTTAAGAGGCAATTAATCACACAGGAGGAGATTGTTCATCTTTTTCACTCCAGGCAGCTGGAGAATTCAAATCATGTGGTATCTAGATTGCCATACAGCTTGGAACTATGTCAGCTCTAAAATATTATATTGACAATATTTTAATACTACTGTTTTTATGTTGTGCTAGGTACTTACTTCATCAAATGTGAAATCCTCTAAGTTAATTTCTTCATATTCTTCGGAGTCTTCATTCTGAATAGCTTCTAGAGCTTTTGTCAGCTTTTTTCTCAAAAGAAAGCCCTTCCAAACTGCCTAAACAAAAATGTAAAGCATGTTATACAAGGTTATAGATCAAACACTAAACCAGATTCTCTGTGTTAGCCCTTAGGAAGATAAAACATCTTTGACTTTAGTTTAATGGCCCAATAATCTGTTATTTGAACTTCATGTGACACTTAAAACTGCACGATAAAATAAATGACTGTGTCTAAAGTTCTGAATCTCAGGAGACTTTCCTTTTGACAGAAAAGAATCTTTAAATCTCTCTCTACTACACTAAATAGGCCAACCAATTAATTATGTGACAATTCCTCCAGGACTAGTTCTAAACTAAGCAGAAAGGATAGAAAGAAAAACCAAAGTTTCTAATTTCTAAATGATTATGTACAAAATAAAGCACATTTAGGAAAACTCAACATATATAAATAGAAACTTTCTATATATATAAATATAAAAATATAAAGAGCACATAATAATTAATGAATTCAATTTTAATATAAACTAAGCACAGAACAATAGTATTAAAAATACTGAAGATCCTCAACATTTGTAGGGCAGGAAAGCTTACCTAACTAAACTTTTAAGCACAATGGAACATTAAAATTGAATACTTTAATATACTGCTAAGGTATGAGCTCCAAGATATGCTTTTAAGTATATCAAATTAGATTCAAATAAGAGTATATTGCATACCACCATTTACCTATTAAAGAAGCCATATAAAAACATACTTATGAAAGGAAATAGAAACTCACATGTATATAGTTAAGTATATATATGTGTGTGTATTTTAAATGAAAGTATATACCATAAAAGTAATGTTGATTTTTTGTTATAATGATTCACTGCTACTCTTAGGACTATGGACATCAGACATCATGATAAATGGGAAAAAGTCTGAAGGTGTCAAGTATTTTACTTTTCTTGATTCCACAATCAACCTCAGTTGAGGCAGTAGTCAAGAACACAAACAACTTACTGCCATGGAATTTTTTGCAAGGACCTCTTTATAATGCCAAACAGCAAAGATGTCACTTAAGACTAAGATATATCTGACTCAAGTCATGATATTTCACTACTTGATTTGGTTGTGAAAGTTGGACAACAAGTAAGGAAGATCAGAGACTATTAATGTCTTTGAATTATCACGTTGGATAAGAATACTGAACTGCCAAAGAACAAAAACATCTGTCTTGGAAGAACTGCAAACAGCATGCTTCTTAGAAACAAAGACGGTGAGACTTCTCATATACCAAGAGGGCCCAATCCATGGAAAAGGACATCATGCTTAAAAATGCAGGGTTAGCAACTGAGAGATTGACTCTCATCAAAATGGGTTGATACAGCAACTGCAAAAATTGTTGCAGAGACTGTGAGGACGGCACAGCTTTGGTCAGGGTTTTACTCTTTTGTACATGAGGCTACCATGAGTTGGGGCTATCTGCACAACACATAACCACTATGAAAAGGGGACAGAAAACAGAGTGAAAGGTGCTGCAGTAGAAGACAATATTCTTTGAGTATAATTTTTATATATGATTTTATTTTAGAACAACAAGTGTACCTAAGACGATTGTAAAAAGAAGTTAAAGATAACCCCCCCAAAAAAACACCACCAACCAACAAACCCTAAAAACAAAATCCATGACAATTTATCTCAAGTTGTAGGAATAAAGATACATTTCTTCAGAAACAAGAAAAAATAATTTATTCATAACACACAGAACATATTTTTCTGGTGTAACAAATGAGGACACTTCTTTCATGAATATTCATGTTGTTGCAAAAGATCTGGAATTTCAGTCCTGAACATCTCCATTCAGTGTAGTATAAATAAAGATGATATAAATATGTTGATAATCAATGTGTAGGTCCTCTTTGTAATCTAGGTTCATGTGAACACCATACATTTTCTCCTGTAATCCGCCTATAATTCATTGATCTTTCTTTTCCACATAGTGAAATCAATTAGCTGGACGAATCTATATCCATGAGGATACTTGATACTTTTTTCTTTAATAAATATTATTGACTTCTGTTCCTAGAATTCACAACATAACTTCTTAAAACTCCTGAAACTCACATATCTCTGACCATGTTTTTCTGATATTTTTCAGTCTTCTAGTGCAAAGGACACTCTAATTACACTATAAAACTCAAACCCAAATCACTGCCACTAAGCTGATTCCTCCCCACAGCAAACTTCCTTTGAGTCTCTGTGTCTAGATACAGTTACAGAAGATGAACTCCTATCATCCTCTGGTAAAGCACCTGGTGGATTTGAAATTTTGACCTTTCAATTAGCAATCCAACATGCTACATATTTCATTGTAAGTGGACATTAAAATGAAAACCTCTTCATGTGTTTTCCAATATAATAACTTGAAAGTATGTTCATGTTCTAGTAGAGAAATTCTTGATTCCTATTTCTCATAAATCATATGGGTTAATATCATCAATGTTTGAATTAAATACAAAATATATTCTAGGGTGTAATATTCCTACCATTTTCTTTGTTACCATCTTGAGTCATGTCACCATTATCTCTTGTCTGGATTACTGCAATAGTTTCACAACTAGTCTTGATGCCTCCACTTTTGCCCTCTGTGATAGTTAAAGTTATGTAATGAAATTGCCTGTTCATTAATTGTTTTGGCAGTTATGATATAATAATTCTCTGGAAGAGATCTGACATAATGTGATCTACTTTCATGAAGGAAAAAAGATGTTTCCTCAGGAGTGTGGTCTTCATCAAGTATAAATGGGCATTCCGGCAAAGCTTTCTTGCTTTTTGCTCCATCTGAATTCTTTATTATGCTCATCTTAAGGGGAGCTTTGGATTCACGGGGCTTGAGTCACAGTCTATAATGTTACCTGTTCATCTTAGATTCTTCATCTTCTGCAGCCCACTGCTTTGACTTCCAGTCTTGAAACTTGCCAGCCTCTGATATAAAACAATTGTTTGATGTCTGGGAAAGTGGAAGGTCCTTGAAAGACAGGAAGATCCTCAACAGGATGACTGACACAGTGAGAGCAACAAAAGACCTGAGTATTGAGTAAGGGCAAGACAGAGCAAGGTTTTGATCCATTGTTCATAGAGTTGCAATGAGTCATACTTGACGTGAAACATCTAACAACAATTTCATGAACCATTTCTTTGAGATAATACATTCCTCCACATTTAAACCAGCTTCTGGTTGTTGTTGAGTACCATATAGCGTGAGAACCAACAAATACCTGACCCTTTGGCAGGTTCAGAGGCAGTTACTTCCACTGAAGGAGATTGTCCATCCTTCTCCTGAAGAGGAGATGGATTCAAACCATGTGCCTCAGAAGTGCAGCAAAGCTTCTTGGACTAGACCATCCTGTTGTTGTTGTTATGTGCTGTCAAGTTGTTTGCGACTCATAGCAACCCTATCCATCCTAGCAGTTCCTGAGTGTGCATTTGGAATTTGATATTCTTTGTCTCTGGGATATCATTACTGTCTCTAGCCTTATATATCCATCTGTCTTAGTTTTCTAATGCTTCCTGTAAAAGCCCTATCACCATGAGTATCTTTAAAGAATAATAAACTATTTTCTCAGAATAAATAAGCATGAACCCAAATGTAGCACATTAGCAGGAACGATTGTTAGTAGCAATTGCATTCCTTGGTTACATCTTGAGTTTCCTATGGTGTGTTTCATTATGGGTCTACTGGGTTCTTTTTAAGATTCAGAAGTGATTAGATTTAATACACACCTGACACTGATAAAAGTTTCATTGACATTAACGAAGAAAATAATCCTTGAAAAGGATTGTATCCACAGGAGTAGGAGTTAGGTTTTCAGTATAAATTTTACGGGGACACTATTTGATCTATATAACAATATTTAAAATAATAAACTAACCTATGTAAAATTTAAAACAAAAACCCACACAACCCAAAACAACTTTATGAATGTTTTCTCTCATTTCTTCTGCTTTATTATTTTCCTTAATACTTGGCATTAACTAATTTATTTATGTTATTCAATACTTGAATAACTTGAAGTTGTTTGTATTGTACAAATCCATCAACTTCTATCATTTGTCAAATGACTTTCAGTGTCTCTCAATAAATACTATCTATTTCCCATCAAAATGGATTTCAAAAGAGACTGAAATTTCTACTAGAGTGTTGACAACCAAAACAAGGGAGAAAATGTCCAAGTAAAGAGATGAGAAGAAGAATTCAAAGAATAGCTCAAGAAGACAAAGCAAAATTGTGGAGTTTATTTTACAATATGTCTTTTCCTAGCCATCTGAATCTCACCTGACCATGTGAATGGGCAGGGACCATGTGAATAGGGTGTGCCTTTCTATAAGGGGATTGGCTATCTCCGCATTTCACAAGGGGACTGGCTAGTCTGAACAATCTACAAAAGAATTGGCTAGTTTCGTCAATAAATGGAATAGCTCTAGCTGTAGATTTAGCTCTTTCGGCACCACTGGAGAAGAAACAAGGATTGTAGGACACTCTTCATGCTCCATCTACATCTGAAGCCGATTTAGCCTTTGCCAAAGCAGAGAGTTGATGTGAGATAGACCCTTGGTCGGGAGTTGGGAGGAGCCAATATTGGCAGGACTGAGAACTTGAGAACACTGCCTTTAAAACCCAAGGCTCAAAGCTGAGGTGTCTGAGTGCAAATTTTCTGAGTGCAAATTTTGAGAACTCTCTTGACTATTCTGTTATTAATTGGGGTTATAACCTTTTGGCTTTTTCAGTATGGCTCTATGTGGTCTTTGAGCTACTGTATTGGATTTTGGACCCAGCAAAGTAGTAAGATTGAGGTTGAAAAGAGTATAAAGAGGTATGGGGAATGTGGGAGACATGTCTGACTTCATGGGAATTGGCTTTATAATATTGATTCTGTGGAGAGGAGCAGTTCCCCTTTGTAAAGTTAATAAAGGCTGTCCCCATATAGCCTTTGTTCTTTTTACAAAAATATTAAATGAGATTGTAACAAGAGTTGTAGTTAGGAAAGAAAAAAAAACACATGAAGAAAAGAACTGAAAAATAAATTTAAGTCATGAGCTATAATAATGAGAGATGCCATGGCAAAATTTTGAATGATCCAGGAAGCATCAGAAGAAAAGAGAAGGAATAGACAGAATCACTGGACCACAAGAATTGGCAGACACTGAAAAAAAATTCAGGAAGTGCCATACGAATAAGAGCTAATGGTTATGAAGGAAATAGTTCAAACTGCACTGAAATTATGGAAAAAAAATAAAGCCAAAGAAAAGGAATACCAATCGGTATGTTTCCATTATCAAAAGGTGCCCTCTGACAAAGAAGATTAATCAGAACTGGCTTTGACAAGCACTGTGGCATTTGGACAAGAACAAACTGGGAGGAGGGTAGAGAGAATAGTGCAACAATGAATGAGTGGAAGCCCAAAATCTCTGTAAATGTTTATGAAAATTAATAAAATATAATTATAGAAAAAAAAAAGGTGACCTGGACATGCACACCAGTCAATACCAGAAAATTTGGTGAACAGTTGTTTGACTGACAAGAAAAGATCCATATTTGTTCCCATTCTCAAAAACGGTAACTTAACAGAATGTATAAATTATCGAACAAAACATTGTGTATAATCATAAAAAATTGCTAGAATAGCATACTAACAGAATTATAAAAAGTCCAAGATGAATTTAGAAGATACCAAATCAACAGGAATATTATTGCTGATGTCAGATGGATCCTGGGTGAAAACAGAGAATCCTAGGGGGAAAAATGACTATTTGTATTTTATTTACTATGCAAACAGCATTTCACTGTGTTCATAACAAATTATGGCTAACGTTGAGAGAAATGGGAATTTCAGAACACTCATTTATGGTTATATAAAATGTAGATCTTTTCCAAGAAGTTGTTGTCTAAACAGAGGAAGGGAACACTGCATGGTTTAAAATCAGGAAAGATTTTAAGTCAGAGGTGTATCTTCTCTCTATACTTATTCAATTTGTAAACTGAATAAATCATTGAGAAGCTGGACTCTAGGAAGAAGAATGTGGCATCCAAATCAGGGAAAACTTTATCAATAACCTGTGTTTATGCAATATGACACAACCTTGCTTGCTGAAAATGAGAAGAACTTGAAACACTGGTTGCAGAAGATCAAATTATCAAATTTATAGCTTTCAATATGGATTGCATCTCAAAATCAAGAAGATAAAATTCTTCACAAATGGACCAATAAACATCATGACAGATGGAGAAAAGACTGAAATTGTCAACTATTTCATCATACTTGGATCCATAATTAACATTCTTGGCACCAGTGATCTGGAGATATACTGCATTTGACAAGTCTGCTGTCACGGACTTCTGCAGTGAGCTGAGGAGCAATAATGTCAATTTGAAGATTAAGGTGTCCTTTATTCAGACAATGGTCTTTTCCACCATTTGCTATGTATCTGAGAGTTGGAGTTGGATATTATATAAGGATGGCAGAAGAATAACTGATGCTTTGAGTTGTGGTGCTGGAGAAGAGTAGTGAATATCCCATAGACTGTCAAACGGACAAACAGATGTGTCTTAGAGAAAGTGTAGCCAGATTGCTCCTTAAAGGCAATGATGGTGAAGCTTTGTCTCACATATTTAGGGCATGTTCTTAGGAGAGGCTACTACTTGCAGAGAAACATGATGCTTGGAAGTTGTAAGGTCAGTGAAAGGGAGGAAAATCCTCAATGATATGGAATGACACAGTGACTGCTCAATGGGCTTCAGATATGTTGTTCGTAGGATTGCTATGAATCATACTAAAATTGATGGCACCTAACAACGTACCCAAGTCATTATTGAGCTATATCACATTTCCCACCTCATTAAGGAACCATACCGAATGTGACTTGTTTTTGGAAATGAAAGTTTGTAGATATGACATATGGTATACCTGAGCAGAGTTTTAAAAATAATTTAAACAGTTTATCATTGTTCTGCTTGACCTTTAGTCGTAAACAAAAAATCCATTTAAGGGGTTGCTCTTTCAGACTTCCTATTCCTCTTTCTCTGGTCTTCCATGTTACCTAGTATGATGTCCTTTTCCAAGGAAAGATCCCTCCTAACAACATGCTCAAAATTTTTGAGAGGAAGTTTCACCATCTCGTCTCCAAAAAGAACTCTGGTTACCCTTCCTCCAAGAAAGATTTGTTTGTTCTTTTATCACTTCCTGAGATATCCAGCAATCTTTTCCAATACCACAACTCAAAAGCTGAGATTCTCCTTCTGACATTCTTATTCATTGTCTAAATTTCATATGCATATGTAGGAACTGAAAAGGCTATGGCTTGGGTCATAGAGAAAGACCCCCAACAAGGTGGATTAATACAATTACTATAAATACAGGCTCTAGCAGATCAGAGATTATAAGGATGGTACACAATATGACAAGGTTCAGACTTGTTGTTCCAAGGGTCTCTGAGTTACAGTTGACTTGATGGAACTTCTAGCAAGGACCTCTCCAAAATTCTAAGACGCAATGACATTCCTTTAAATTCTAAGGTCTGCTTGATACAACTCACAGTCTTTTCAATTACTCGCTATGCATCTGAAAGGCTGACAATAAAGAGGTTGCTCTTTCAGATTCCCTCTTCCTCTCCTCTGATCTCCCAGCTATCTTAGAATGAATAAGGATAACAGAAGAACTTCAACAAGATGGATTGACACAGATAATATAACAATGGGTCCAAGTATATTGGAATTGATTACATTAGCACAGGACAGGCCATGCTACAGATCTGTTGTTTATAGAATCATTATGAGTCATGGTTTAGTGGAAGGCACATAGAAACAAACAAATGCAACAACAATATCTTCAGTTTAGATACCATGCCTCACCACAGTCAACCTATAGCCACTTCACAACTCACATGTCATTTGAGTCAGAAAGGAGCCCTAGCATCTCAATGTGACAAAGCACTTGGTTCTTAAACACCAAAAAAACCACCAAAAAACAAACAAAATAAACCCCAAATGTCTGTGTAGTTCAACGATCTCTGGCAAAGAGATAAGCTAGTAAGGTAGACTGTTTTGGTAAAATTTTACACTTTGGAAACTCCATATTAAAGTTCTATTGTATCCTAATGAGTTCCTATGAGTTAGAATTAACTCAACAGCTGGAAAGAACACATTTTCTTTATTAGATTCTGTGTTAAAATTTACTATTTAAAATCTAATTTATAAAAAATAAATTATTCAGGATCAGGCTTATGGTTTTCATGAGTCAAATCCGTACCCTTGTATTTGTAAGTCACAGTTTGGGGAGTTATTTGTCATGCAAAATAGTCTATTAAAAGAAGACTAATGTTCTGTTACTAAAAGACTGACACCAACCTGAATAAGAATAGCAGCCTCCTCCCTCTGTTCTTGAGTATTAACAATATGTCTTATTTTTTCTTTTGTTGAAGTTGTCTGTTTCTTGGAGCAGCATGTTGGCTGGAATGCCACCGATACTGTTGCAGCCGTATGTATTCTTGAGGAAAAATTAATCTGTTTACGAACAATGTAACCTCTCCAGTAAGCTTGGATTATCACAGCCGCCATACTATTAAGAGGAGAAAATATTTTAGTACCCCAAAATACAATATTGATGATGAAAGACACAGATACATTATATTCAATAACATAAACCATGCATGTAATATATACTTAAAATTAAGACTATCACCTCAGTAAGAAGAGCAAAATTTAACAGAACAGCAAACAACAAATGCTGGCGAGGTTGTGGAGAAACTGGAACCCTTATTCACTGTTGGTGGGAATGTAAAATGGTGCAACCACTGTAGAAGGCAGTATGGCATTTTCTCAAAAAGTTGCAAATAGAGATACCATCTGACTGAGCAATTCCACTACTGGGAATATACCCCAAAGAAACCATAACCACCACCCAAGCAGATATCTGCACACCCATGTTTATCCCAGCTTTGTTTACAATAGCTAAGAGTTGGAAACAACCTAAGTGCCCATCAACAAACAAATGGATAGAGAAGCTGTGTTATATGCCACAATGGAATACTACTACACTGCATTGAAAAAACAAGGAACTCATGAAATATTCTTCAAAATGGGTGACCCTGGAGAACATTATGCTGAGTGAAATATCTCAGTCATAAAAGGCCAAATATGGCATAGTGCCACTGTTGTAAAACGGGACTCACGTCAGGGTTGAAGGGAGACTGAGAAAGATGAGATAAATAATGTATACTGCATTGAAACAGATGAGGGAAAGAACTGTTTAAAAGGGATATGTGTTTAGGTATTATTGTCATGACATGAGTAAAGAATAAAGGCTGCATAGTGGAGTGGACTTGGGGATGAGGGATCGTATAACAATAAAAGAAAATTTCTTTTACTTTTCAAAGAGAAGAATGAACAGGGTGGAAGGGGTGGGCAGGGAGAAAAGTGCAACAACGAATGAATGGAAATCCAAATTTCAAAGTCTCTGTACATTTTCACTAAAATTAATAATATTTTTTTTTAAATCAGACAATTTCTTTCACAGAACTGTACCCCTAAAAATACAATTATTATAGAAACTTCAATGCTGGAAAGAGATATGAATACAATGGAATTTCCAACTTTCTTAAATCAGGAGGGTATCACAATGTTTTCTTAAAGATATTGAGGATACTGGCCCAATATAGCAAAGACTGGGAAGTGACAATTGAGAGGAAGGCAAAATGCCAGGGACAACCCTGAGTCAGCAAGAGAGACTCTTCCTCAAGTGGAGACATTAATCATGGAGAGAGTGAAGGCAGCCCCTTCACTTTCCAAGAAAGACACTATTTAGCTTCATTTTTCTCCTTATCCTTGGCGTGATATTTAAATCACCTCCAAAATTCTAATTTGGCAAGTTTTCCAAATTCTAACATTTACTCAGGCCACAGCTATTTGATAACCTCAAATCTTGTATCTACTAATGGAGTTCCTGGGTAGCACAACTAATTGTTAAGCATGGGATTACTGGCTAAAAAGGTTGACAATTAAAAAGGGACACTGAGGCTGACTCTTCAGAAATAAGCTTTGGAAATAAGCATCTTAAAGTCGTGAAAATTCTAGACCAATTCTACTTTGCATCTATGTTACTACTATAAGTCTAAATTAACAGCAACAATAATGTTTATCAGTATGTTGTTGTTGTTATGTGCTGTCAAGTCGCTTGCAACTCATAGCGACCCTACGTATAACAGCCCTAAGCTCTGCTCTGTCCTGTACCAATCGCACTGTCTCTGACACTCCCAGCCCAATTACCCCAGTCACTGAATTAATCCAGATCATAAAGGGTCTTCCCCTCCTGCACTGTCCCTCCACCCTCCCAAGCATGATGTCCCTCTCCAAGGACCGGTCCCTCCTTACATGTCCCAAGTATGTTAGACGGAGCCTCAGAATCCTTGCCTCCACGGTGCCGCCCGGTTTAATCCTTTCCAGGATGAATCTATTTGTTTTCTTGGCAGTCCACGGTACATTCAATACTCTTCTCCAGCACCACAGCTCAAAGGCATCAATTCTCCTTCTATCCTCCTTAGTCACTGTCCAACTTTCTGATGCATAACAAGTGATTGCAAAGACCATGCCTGTATCAGGCGCACCTTAGTCTCCAGAGAGACACCATTGCTCCTGAGTAATTTGGAGAGGTCCCTATAATGAATTTTATTTTTTATCTCTCTCTAAGCTGCTTAGTAACATTAGTGAACAGTGAAGAACAACATGCAATTTAAGAAAATCCTGTTGTTCTTCCTAATTGTATATATTTTATCTTGTTCATACAGCTTACTGTAGGACTGTAATCAAGATAGATGGTTTGGTGGCACAATGGTTAAGCACTTTTCTGCTAATCAAAAGACTAGCATTCAAACTCACTCAATGACTCTGTGTAAGAAAGACTTAGACTCTCCTTTAAAGATTCAAGCTCAAAAAATCATTCCTGTCAAGTAGAATTGTCTCATAGCTGACACTTCATTGGTTTTCCAAAGTTGTCAGTAACATGGGAAAATGTTGTCCATCTTTCCTTCCCCTCAGGAGCTGGTGTTAGTTAGGATTTGACAGAGAGATCAGAACAATTTTTAGTTAGCAGCACAATTCTCATGCTATGTGAGGCAGTTCTGCTCTGTCATATGGAATTGTGCTTAGTTGGAAATGACGATGCTTAACAACAACAACAAAATAACCAAGGAACACAGTAAATCAAGGTGTAAATTCTTCCGTCATAATTTCTTTTGAAATTTCTGTATTTGGCTTAAAAGATGTGTAGAGGCTAAGTAACTTATTTAAGTATATCCAACTTCCTCAAGTGCTCCCTTAAAGGTTTTTCCAATAACTTCATAGTTACTAAGCCTGCCCAATAAGCTTACTGCCACTTCATTTTATTTTCATTTAAGGCCTTAGAGAGGGACGCCATGCTTGGGAGCATGGAGTGACAGCACAAGAGAGGAAGATCCTTGATGAGATGGATTAATTCAGTCACTGGGTCAATGGGGGTAGGTGTGCCAACAATAAGGTTGGCACAGGATAGAGCAGGGTTCAGGGCTGTTGTACATAGGGTTGCTATGAGTTGCAGGCAACTCAACAGCACATAACAACAACAATGACAAGGTAAAGTCAATTAACAGATAAGTTATTTCCATAAATGATTCCTATATTTGTTTTTTTTTTTTTACTTTTAACATAAAAATTGGGAACATATTAGAAAGAAAATGCTTTTCTATTATGGTCTTTTTGATCACTTGCTATGCATCTGAGAGCTGGATAGTGAATAAAGATGAAAGAAGAAGAGTTGATGCCTTTCAGCTGTGGTGTTGGAGAAGAACACTGAACATCCCATGGATGGCCAAAAAACCAAAATATATCTTGGAGAGAGTACAGCCAGAGTGCTCTTTGGAAGCAAGAATGATGAGCTTTGCCTCACATACTTTGGGCATGTAGCTAGGTGGAGCGAGTCTTTGGAGAGACACATGATGCTTGGAAGGGAGGAGGGTTAGCAAAGGAGAGGAAAAGCCTCAACCAGGTGGATTGGTATACTGACTGCCACAATAGGCTCTTGTGTATCAGGAAACGTGAGAATGGCACAGGATAGAAAAGGATTCTATATCTATTCTTTTGTATATGGGGGTCACTACAAGTCATACTTGACTCGACACTCATAACAAATTAGAGAAGAAAGCTTTTCTATTATTATTTTGCCTCATTGTTTCCTTTACTACTGTTATTATCATCTTTGTTATCATCATCATCATTTTACCTAAAGCCAATGCAACAGTTCATTCTATTTTCTTATGAAAAGAAGAAATGAAGTTAATGGCTAAAACTTCTGGTCTAAGACAAACTATTTCTACTCCTAAGACTTGAGGCATGCTCATGTTCCAACAAATCATCCCTTTTCTTAGGATAAACAGACCTTTGTAAAATTTACTATGATTTTAATCCATATGCAAACATTAAATAATCAGGCATTAACTTCATCATTTACCCCTGGAACATAAATTAGTTAGAGAATTTTAATGCACAATAATAGGTACTTTAAGGAGCCCTGCTGGTGTCCGGTGTTAAGAGCTGTACTGCTATCAGAAAGCCTAGTAGTTTAAACCAGCTTCTCTGAGGGAGAAAGACGAAGCCATCTACTTCCATAAAAATTTCCAGCCTTGGAAATCCTACAAAGTAGCTCTATTTCATCTCATTGGGTTGCTGTGATTTGGAATGAAATAGACTGCAATTAGTTCAGTACGGTTATAGTAGCCTCTGAGCAATGGAGAAAATAATCTCTGGTATCTGAGTAAACTAGGATTTGTGCTATCAACCTAAAGCCAAGTTGTTCAAATTTATGAGCTGCTCTGTAGAAAGTGATGGGCAATCTCCTTTTGTGTGATTTACAGTTTCTGAAAACCCACAGGAGGGTCAGTTATGAGCTGGTTCTGAGTTAGTGGCAATAATCAATGTATAATATTTACTACAGGATAAAAAGTCTGTAAGAAAATGCACCTACCTGGTAGATAGTAAGTTATTTTTTTTTCTGTATAATCACATATAAGCAAGAGTGGCGTCCACTTCCTAAATGGCATCCCTCCAGAAACTCTATGAACTTTGATAGATGTTGATAGTTGTAGAGGGGCTTTAAACCTTTTGTTCATAGAGTTGCTATGAGTCGTGCTCGTGCTTGACTCGAAGGCAATCAACAACAACTATCACATTTAAGTTTCACTGACACTGGTGTGTCAAATGCGTTAATGATTGGCTATCCAATGCCGACAGAGAGTGGGGTGGAGCTCCCCGATTAAAACAAGCTTGGAAGGAGGAGTGGCATCCACTTCCATAATAGCTTGCCTCCGGAAAACCTATGAACCTGGAGAGAGGATGAAATGCACCCAAGGGTCTAGGAATCTCCTTCATAGGGTCGCTATGAGTCGCCTGCGACTCAACAGCATCTAACAACAACAGCAACAACAATTGTAAAGTTCCCCAGTTATTCAGATGTAAAAGATTCTTATTTTTTCATTTGTATAATCTCCAAAAGGAACGAAATACGGTAGAAAAAAGGGACAAAAAGCATGTGAGAAACATTTTCCTGGATTCTTATCACTAGTAGTTTTTCATTACAGAGGAAACAAGGCGAGGCTGACTTTAGAGATTCCTGGATTCAGGGTGGCCTCTATATTGACAAATGAATATTTACTATTCATCATCTCTTTATTTTTTCTTTTATGCAAAAATTCTAACGGCAAAATTCTAAGTATACAAGCATATGCAAACTACATTTAGGAAATGACTACAAAATGGAGACTTACTCTTTTAGAGTTACTGACTAGCAGGTTTCAATACACTCAAAACTCAAATTTGCTGCCTTTGATAGATTCGGTTCCAACTCCCAGCAACTCTCTGTAAGGTTTCTGAGATTAAAGTGCAGTGAAGGGAGACTGGTGCCCACCACCTTCCTCTCTCAGAGCTTCTGGAAGATTCAGACTGCAGGAGATACCAGCTTTTCCTACTGACGACGCTGCTAGAGCTCCCCATGGTTCCACTGTTTCAAGTCAGAAGCAACTCATAGCTGACCCAAAAGCGAGTTTCTGGAGGCTATAAATTGCAAGGGGGGAAACTGTCCATCTTCTTCCCTCAGAGCTGCTGGTGACATTTAACTGAAAGAGCAGAGCCACCTTTAGATTTATCAGTGCAACCGCCTCCCCACTAAGTCAGCACAGCTCAATGAGTGGGTATATTCACCATGCTACAAATGGGCATATACATCACCAGGGCTCAACTAGCGGGTATAAATATTCACTATGCTACAAATGGGTATAAACTTTGCCTTTATTTTTCAGGACTTTGAGTTCTCTCAGTCTTTCATCTTTACTTAACACCATTTGGATGAGATTAAGAGTTCTAAATATCAATAAGCAATTTTTGGAGGGATTGGTGCAAATTCAATGCATGGGGGGAAAACCCAAAATTTTAAAAGCACTTGTAAGGTGTCAAAAATTATGAAATACATGATATTTTCAGCATGTAGCATTATTTACTATGTCTCCAAGAAAAGAATAAAAAACGTCAGTTTACTACTAACAACTCCTGGATCAAATCATACGGAAAAGCAAGATTAGCTATTATTGTGAGATTCTGGGCATTGACAATCTGCACCAACCATGAAAAGAGAAGCTGTTTGGATTTTTATTTCCTGACCCTAAGCTTGACACTAGGACAAAAATATTAGCTGACACTAAGACAAAAGTAAAAGAATGAGACGTTGACAAGCTAAACACTGATATTTATTGGCTCAAGAAACAGTTAAACCTAGCCATTAGCTTTCTATATACATTTAATAGTTGAGAGTTTACTATAGAATTGTTATACCAAACAAATAAATAACACACATTCACAAGCATACATAGATAACTATTGAACATTCAGCTTATCTATGATAAAATAACATATGCAAATATACACTTTAAAAATGAAAATACTTTATTAAGTATTTAAAAAACTTTAGAATAGTATTCAAAACATTTAAAATAATATTCCTTCTTAAAACTTCATTTTAATCACTTACTAAATCAGATTCAACTATTTGGAATATACCCTGAGAAATTAGAATTTTGTAAATAAACTAGTAGGGAAAAACACAATGAAGTATGAGGGCAAATTAAAAAAAAAAGAACCTGTCAACATTCAAACAGCTCAATCTATATTGTTATTTATAACTTAAGTGTTTTATAACAGTATATTTGAGGGGATATAAAATATAATATTTTCCCATTGCCACTAAGTTGAAAGTGACTTGTAGTTTGGATTTGTGGGGCCTGTGAATCACAGGAGAGGACCCACGGGCATATGTGTAGTGCCAGAAAGGTGCTGCCTTTGAGTTTGCAGCACAACTTGCTATGGTCCCTCCATCAGAGCTTCCACACAAAAATAAAATATACTAGTGGTTTATTACTTGGCACCATTGCCTGATACATTCATAAAAATAGTAAATATAATACTATGATAGGAAAAGACCATAAATCTTACATTTTTTCACTAGGTTGACGATTTTGACAATTTCTCAGCAGGCATGTAGTCGCTGATGTTTCTGTGAATGCGTTTCTGTTAGTGGAGACAATGCTTGTCTGACCACCTTCTCTTTTCTGGTCTACTGTTTGTCTTTGATTATTTTCTTCTATACTAGTACAGATGAAGTGCTTAGTTTGTGAACAGCCACTGGAACCAGCATTGATCCATTTCTCAGAAAGATCTGGTGAGTCTAAATCATGTTCATTTATAGAGGAATCGAGGACCATATTTTGCAACAAGTTGTCAATTTTTATAGGGGCCAAATGATTCTGCCAGGCTTGAGACTGGTCTCCCTTCATGATCCTTACATTCATATTTTCATGTGCATATCGACAATAATGACTAAATGCCATCAATTTCTCAAAACAATGGCAAAAGTTTTTTGCTTCATCCAAGGAGAATATGTTCCTAAACAAAACAAATAATGGCATTTAACAATAGAAATTACATCAGGAAATATTAATTAAAACATAAGGTTTGAAAGTTTTCCTGTGGGACCTGGAATCAACTTTACTACAACATGCATTATAAATTTTGTTGTGTACATGAAAAATTGATCTCATTTCTCACAAAATTTGAAACTATCTTTATATACAATTTAGATCTGTAAACCCAGACAAAATGTCTGGAATCTTTAAAACCATTTTTATTCTAGGTATTTTTGGTACAGATGAATGTAAAAAAGTCATGCTTTTACTACCATAAACATGAGAAATTGTGCTGCCTAAATTTAGAGAAGTTATTTGTAAAATAAAGTTAAAAGTACATTGACTCTTGCCACACAAAATATTTATACTGGACATTTAAACAAAGAACTTATATTATGGGAAAGTTTTATTCCTAATTTTCTTTGGAAAAATAATCCATTGGAAAGAAAATTTAAATTCTTTAAAATACAAATGGTTGTGCTTCTCTTGAATAATTTCTGGATTTATAACTGAAAGAAACTATAACTTCTATGTAATTAGTTTACCAATAGTTCATATTTTAAGTTCTCAGAAACAAATATAGACAACTTTATACTTGTATAAGTAATATTGTTGGTTACATTTTTTATTTATCTAGCTTTTTTCACTCTTTTAAATATATTTATGTACTTTACATATTTTCTTTTTATATTTAATATATAGCCACAAATATTTTCTAGAATTATGCAGGATATAAATAAATATAACAAAACTACCATCAAAACTACAAAAGATATCATCTCCTAATATGTAGAAACAATTATATTTCCTGTGTTCACAAAGGAAGTAATAGACAATCGTTGTTGAGTGTCTTCGAGTAGAGCAAGACTCATAGTGACCCTATGAACAAAAGGCCTGAAGCCCCTCAACAACTATTAACATTTATCAAAGTTCATAGGGTTTCTAGAGATATGATGTTTAGGAAGTGGATGCAACTCCCACCATTTAGGGTTTTTAGTATTCTAATGTATTTTTATTAAGAGATTATCAACCAGTTTGTTAACTAAGAAGAGTTAATTATTAAGATATCAAATAAACTTATGGATATGTGTTAGATTCACCAACATTTATGGAATAAATGTTAAAAATACATTTTATTCTTCATTTTCAATTCAGAAGAAAACAATCTGTAGTAATAATAATTTTTATCTTGAGAGATGTCAAGAATTTCCTTGACAAAAACTGCACATTGCAACTTATCAGCTTAGATATGCATAAACAGAAATAAATTCTTAGCATTTTTGAAAGAAAACATTTACTGTTTATGAACTGAAATTATATTTAAAGCTATGAGATGTATTTTAAATTTGAATAAAATATATGAAAAAATCTAAATGTTAAAGCCAGCTCTTAGAGAAGGTCATTATGTATGAATATATAAAGAGCACAAGATAAGCTCTGATGGGTTAATGGTAAGGAATTGCACTGCCAATGCAAAGGTATGTGATTCAAGTCCACCAGCTGCTCCATAGGAGAAAGATAGAAAAGTTCCTCCTACGAAATATATTCCTTCTGAAAACCACCCTGGAGGGTGAGCTATGGGTGGGTCAGTTGCACAACAACAACAAACACATGGGAAGATTTAATTATCAAAGTGTTAGACATTTGGAAGCATGTATTATTGTCATCAGAAATTAAATAGGAAATATTGTTATTTGTGTTTTATGGAGCAATGTAATATTAAGATATGTTCATAGAAAGTTATGATTCATTCACAGCAGTGTGTTTAAAATTCAGGGTGGAGTGCAGGAGATTTCTTTCCTTGATATTTAATTATAACTCCCATCTCAGCTAAAGTCTTCTGAGTATATACATGTATTGACTGCATATATTTCTCCACTGTACTATCATAATTACTTATATCTACATCATAAGACTTGCCTCATTGCATTGTAATTATTTACCTCCACATTCCCTCTTACATTAATCTGTGAAGCCTCTGCAGATAGCACTGTACAAACTAAAAAAATAACCTTATTGTTGTGCACTGTCAAGTTGGAACTCGCTGGCCCTCCAGGTGAGTTTTCAGAGGCAGTAAATCACACGCAAGGAGACAATTCATTGTTCTTCTATGGAGCATCTGGTGAATTAAAAGCACTTGCTTCTGGGTTAGCAGTACAACTCCTTGCCGTTTAGCCACCAGAGCTCCCTACACCTTTTGTGCAATAATTATCCAGTCAATTTTTTGATTGGTTAAATAGGTGACTAAATAAAAGATTGTTTCATCTTGTTTTAAAGTAATGCTTAATTTTTGTTAAATTATACTCTAAATTATATGCAAACACATTTCAAAAAGAAAAATGATGCCCAAATTTTTAACAAGCTTCCAATAACAAAATATATAATTATATTACTCAGAATAATTTTAAGCATAGACATAAATTGTACTAGTTTTCTAATCACAGTAAATGTCACAGTACAATCTTACTCTTTGCCAGTAATATAGTTCTCAGTTAGCAGGTTGAATTCTCTAATCTGGGACTGACAAAGTGGCAGAAAGTATTCTGATTCTAGATTATTTTGCTCTTCAGTATGGCTTTCTGAATCAGTACTAAGAATTTCATCATTGAGTATTCTTAGAGCAGGTAATATTTCCAGTAGAGATTGCCTGTTGAAATAGAGAAAAAAAACTTGTCAATGAGATTTTATATATAAAATAATGACAGACCTGTAACTTACATGATGGGGAATATATCCCAAGAAATGTTATAGATTTTGTAGAGAAAAATATACTTTCACATATTTCAGTGTCATATAATATACAAAATAAGTTTTTACGTTCTAATCATATACTTAAATTATTCTTACAAAACACAAATGAAGGAGTTGAATAGCTGGGAATTTAGGCTAGAATCTGGATTACCTAAGAAACTGTATTATAAAAAAAGAAAAACAATTCAGACACATTTTTTAACATCATTAAAATAACCTGAGTTAAAGCTATGATTCATATCAGAAACAGAAATCAGTCCTTTTCATTGCTCTACATAAAATGGAATCAGGATAAGGAATGGCAGGTACAGGATTTTCCTGTTTTCCATGCTTTGAAGATACTAAAATCAAGATAAAATTTGGATGTGCATAGGGATTTGATTCTTAGAAGGTCCCATTAATCTAATTTATCTCCTCCCGGTTGTAGATTTTTCAGGATACTTGAAAGACTGTTTATGTTGTGGATTAGGACTACTAGAGTTTGTCCATAGTCCTTGGTTTTAGTCCAAGGTCCATGATCCACCTTGAATTGGTTTTTGTATATGGAGTGAGGTGTGGATCTTGCTTGAGTCTTCTGCAGATATTTTTCCAATTTTACAAAGACCATTTGTTAAAAAGATTGTCATTTCACCACTTAACTGATTTCATCTCATCAAAAATCAGTTGACCACAGACAATTGGGCTGATTTCTGAGTTCTCAATTCTATTCCATTGATCTATATGTCTCTCTTTGTACCAGTACCATGCTGTCTTAACCACCACAGCAGTGTAGTAGGATTTGAAATCAGGGAATGAAATGCCTGCTATCTTTTTTGCTATTTTTAAGGAGTGCTTTGTGTATTCAGGGCTTCTTTACGCTCCAAATGAAACTGGAGATTACCTTTTCCATCTTGTTGAAGAATGGGATTGGTATTTATATTGGAATTGCAATGAACATGTAAATTGCCTTTGGTAGTATTGCCATTTTCACAATATTGAGTCTTCCTATCCATGAGCAAGGGATAAAAAAGGAAGCCACAGACTGGGGAAAAGTATTTGGTATAGACACTTCAACAAAGAAGACATTCAGATGGCTAAGAAGCACATGAAGAAATGTTCACAATACCTAGCTCTAAGAGAGATGCAAATCAAAACAACTATGAGATATCATTTCACCCCAATAAGAACAGCAAAATTTAATAGAACAGCTAGCAACAAATGCTGGTGAGGTTGTGGAGAAACTGGAACCCTTATTCACTGTTGGTGGAAATGTAAAATGGCGTAACCACTGTGGAAAGTGGTGTGGTACTTTCTGAAAAAGTTGCAAATAGAGATACCATTTGACCCAGCAGTACCAATACTGGGAATATACCCTAAAGAGACCATAACTGCCATCCAAGCAGATATATGCACACCCATGTTTATCGCAGCTTTGTTCACAATAGCAAGGAGTTGGAAAAAACCTAAGTGCCCATCAACAAACGAATGGATAGAGAAGCTGTGGTATATTCACACAATGGAGTACTATGCTGCATTGAAAAACGAAGAACTAGTGCAATATTCTTCAAAATGGGTGACCCTAGAGGACATTATGCTGAGTGAAATATCTCCATCACAAAAGTACAAATACTGTATAGTGCCACTGTTATAGAATGGGACAGACATCAGGATTTGGTAAGACTGAGAAAAACTGGATAAATAATGTATACTGCATTGAAATAGATGAGAGAGAGAACAGTTTAAAAGAGATATATGATAGGGTATTGTGGTTATCACAGGAATCCAGAATTAAGGTTGCATAATGGATTTCACTCGAGGAGGGAAGGTGGGGTAGGGGGATTGTATACCAATGAAGGAGTTTATCTTTTGCTTTTTGAAGAGAGGAGTAAACTGGGGGAGGGGGGTGATGCAGAGAAAAAAAGTGCAGCAATGAATGAATAGAAATCCAAAATCTCTGTAAATGTTCATTAAAATTAATAGAATAATTTTTTTAAAAAGATATTTCCCCTGAATCTAAGAAAGAATTAAAAAAATAAAATGTTCAGAAATGTTCTTAAAATGTGAACAAGGTTATATATAATTTTAAAAATACAGTACTTTGAAAAACACAGCAAGACCTCTTCACCAACCCTGGCCATTCAGAAGTATGAGTTTGTCCAAGCCTCTTTTCACATGATTAATACGAGCCTACTGTCAGAAGGTTTTGCTGTTGGCCAAAAGGGTAAGAAAACCTCTTGAATGAATAAAACTCCTTAGTTAAAATATTTCTTAACATTAAATTAGGAATTACAAGGTAATATTATTAAGATACCAAACAAGGCTATGTGGAACATAATAAATTATGGATGACACTGAAAAGAAGGGCAATTCTAGAACCCCCAACCGTGCTCAGGCAGAATGTAGATGCACAAAAAGGCAGTCATTCAAACAGAACAAAGGTTTAAACAGAACACATGGTTTAAAATTAGGAAAGGCAGGATTATATTCTTTTATCACACCTATTCAACATATATGCTGAACAAAAAATTAAGAAGCAATGAAGAGTAATGTGGTATCAGGAGTGGAAAAAGAACCGTATCTGCTATATGTAGATGACACAACTTTGCTGAAAGTGAAGAAGATTTGAAAACTTTACTCAAGAAAATTCAGGACTATCTGTGCCAGAATGGGTTATACCTCAACATCAAGAGAATCCTCACAAGTGGACCAATGTCTGTCAGTACGATATGTGCAGAGAACACTGGAACTGTCAAGGATTTCAACTTTACTTGGATCCATAATCAATAACCATGGAACCAGCAGTTACAGAATTACATGACTCATGGCATTGGACAAATCTGCTGTCAAGAACTGCTTTAAAGTGTTAAAGAACAAGGATGAAACATTGAAAACTAAAGCATACTTGGCCCAAGCTGTAATATTTTATTTTTTTGTTTGGTTGTGAAAATTGTGCAATAAATGGGGAAAAGAAGAATTGATGTCTTTGAATTGTGGTAGTGGTGAAAAGTACTTTATATTCTGTAGACTTCCAAAAGAACAAATAGATAGGTCTTGCAAGGAGTTCAGCCACAAAGCCGCCTTAAAATCAAAGATAGTGAAATATTATCTTATATACTTTGGGTTAGTTCTCAGGAGGGGCCAGTTCATGGAAAAAGTCATTGCTATTGGACAATTACCAGCAAGGGAGAAGAATATCTTCAATGATATTGAATGATTCTAATTATTCTTTTTTTTTTAATTTTTATTTTTATTTTGTGTGTGTGTACCGTCAAATCATATCTGACTGGTACAGGAGGATATTGCGCCTCCTTTTCCGGCAGAGCATCTGGTGGATTCGAACCGTGTTCCTCTGGGAGTGCAGTGCAGCTTCTTGCCACTAGGCCACCAGAGCTCCCCGATTCTAATTATTCTAATCTTCTAATGATACAGTGACTACAACAATGGCCTAAAGCAGAGATTACGCCATTGAGGGAGGATCAGGTAGTTTTCATTCTGTTGCACTGAGTCCAAGCTGACCTGATGTCACCTAACAACAACAACAACAACAATAATGTTTAAGAAGAAAACTCTAAGCAGAGCTTTATAATTGTTAATTCTACTTACACTATGATACCAAACACAATTTATACATTTATGGAAAACACAGTTAAAAAACAGTTTACTTATATAGAAATATAAAGGAAGGAAGTGGTCAATATAGCTAAAAATACCTGAGCATACCAAAATCATAGTATATCCATATATATAGTTTAGGATTTTGATAATAGATATATGCAAATCACAAGAGAGTAATAAATGAACTCCCTGAATGAAAGCATAAAAAGCAGTGAGGTTTTTTTCATTTACTGGAGACAAAGATAGTTAACTTTCAAACAAAAAGAATCTTTTTGCCTCAAGTATATTGAGAGGGGAAATTTATTAAATGTGGTTCTTCAAGGTAATTATTTTTTTACTTTACAACACTAGAAGCAGACAAAAGGTTTATTGTGTAGTCAATAATAATTTTGTGATAGTTAAGAACGTTTTGTTCATATGTTATGAAAACATTTGAAGCTGTTATCATTTGTAAAGTTATAAACTTTATACAGCACAGGATTAAAATAACCCTCATATGAAGTATTTCTGGAGGGATTCATTTTAAGATATGGACCACAAGGAAAATGTAACATAAAGTTAGTAGCCTTTTACCGCAGTTTTAGCGAGAAAAGCGCAACATTTAATATTGTTAGGGGACACAGAGTCAGAGACACAATTAACAGAATTAACTGTGACCAGTCCTCTGCCATTTTCACAGTCTCTGTTGTGGTCAAAGTCATTGCTGTAATTTTTATGTCAATTCATCTTCTGAAAGGTCTTTTTCTTTGTAGATCAGTTTATCAAGCATTCTGTCTTTCTCCAGGGACTGGCCTTTGCTAATAACAGAACTCCCTAAATAGGGTATATGTAACTGAGGATCTTACCAAAGTAACAAAAGGTTTTCCTTGGACTCCGAATTTAGTAAAAATAAATGTACAATGGAGATGATAATGGTTCTACTCTACGAGATAGTTCTGTATTCTAAAAGCCTCTCAACATTCTTCAACGAGATGGAAAAGGCAATCTCCAATTTCGTATGGAATGGAAAAAAGCCCCGAATAAGCAAAGCACTCCTTAAGAATAGAAGAAC